TCAAACATTCCAAAAAAATAAACTTTGCAAATAATTTTATTAAAATTGCAATATGCTTCCGACGCTCATGCTACATTGTCATCAACTATTATTTGTATTACTTGTTTAAAAAAAATTTTTTTCAAGAGATTTATTTATCAATATTCAGCACACCTGCAAAATGTAAGATTATTAGGCAATAATTATACAATTTGAAATCGAATATACGATAACTATAAAAAAAAATGCTACTTCAGATTTTGGATTCCCGTGACTTCAGACATTTGGATGCTTTACCGAATCGAAAATAAATGAAATTGAAAATAATAAAAATAATTTAAAAGGTAATTCAAAAAACAATGATAATTTTGGGTTCCATAGGAGTCATACCATTATTAATCTCAAAATTATCAGTAATAGAAAAATATAATGTTTTAATTTATAAAATAATTTGCAATTTTAATAAAAATAATCATGAAACATACATTTAAATTAAGGAATATTATTATCACAACTACTCTTACTATTGTTCAAATATGATACTTCCAAAACAATATATCAAAATATTTCATGTTGTTTTAAACTCGCAAATAGGTATCCTGCATGGTCAGAGGCTGTACATCAGTCTCTGCATAATTGGTGTTTTTTGGATATGGCATTTCGTCATGGTATTCCATCACGTCGTCAGGAGTTTCATCACTTCGGCGGGTTAGACGAGGTGGATTACGTGAATGTCGAGGAAAAGGACTTTACATTAATTATATTCAAAACCTTTGTTGTTGGCAGTTTGTTTTAGTGTTCATATAAAAAAAAATGTAAATTAAAAATTTCAAGCTGCATAAATAACAATTTGTACACATACTTACAAATTTTAAATAACTTTTAATCACACCAAACAATTCCTCTACTGGATTTTTCGATATTGCAATTGTTTTAAAACAATTGGAAATTGTAATAACGTAGCATTTGTAAAAAATAGAAAATGTATGAACCTTTTTTTAAATTTTGCCTCCTATGTGAGAAAGAAGACTCACTACTTATTAGCGCTGTTCA